CCCCAAAACCCCAAAACCCCAAAACCCCAAAACCCCTAATTACTAGAATTATTGAAAGAGCAAACTTCCAGAAACTTATCTCTCATACAAGACTTCTTTCTGCTTGAGTAGGGAGAACTCCATCAGGTCAGCTTTCTTCTTCTGTAAAATCTCCTTATGCCTCGTCTTAGTGAGGTGCTTGTCAATAATGCTCTGCTTGAACTTCTCTTGAAGTTTCTTCTGATGGTTCTTTATCTTCAGATGATGGCGATGTCTCTTCTGGTTAGTTATAGAGACCTTCTCTGAAAGAGAGAAGTCGTTTTGCTCTTTGCTCACACTATTATGGATCCTAAGAATCTTATTTGAAAGACTTACTTCCTGTGTTTGGCTTTGACCTTATCTTTAAAAGCCTCTAATTCTAATGCTTTGGACTTTTTATTGTTATTTACAGTATTCCTAATATCTACAGACTTGTTTTGCTTATCTACAATTTTATTTTTATGTGCCTATGAGTTAGGAATGATTGAATACCTTCTTGAGCTTCTTCATTCTTTTCATATAGTCCATCTGCTTATTGAGATACTCCAGGAAATGCTTCTCCTTCTTCTCTTCCTCATACTGATTCATCTTGACCTTGATTTCCTGAGTTCTAGTATTCTGGTTGTTCAAGGTCTCGATCCTTTTCTTAAAATTATCATTTAGCCTATTAGTAACTGTTTGGACCTTATTATCCAGATTTCTGAGCATCATTTTGCTCTCATCATATTCCTGTTGGGCTCTTTGCTGGCTCCTGATCCTTTGTTTCTCTTCTTTGACACCAGCTACCATGAAGGTAGTGTTCATATCTTCTTTCATTTTCTCGTATTCCTCTATATAGGGGTTTAGATGGAGATTACTTTCAGCTTTTTCTTTCTGCTTCTTCTTAAATTCTCTCATTTCTTTCTTGTACCTAAGCATGATCAAGTAAAGCTCTTACAATAAGTAGCCAGAGTCTTCCTTGTCTTTGAGAGTTCTTTCGTGGTACTTCTTGGCAGTTTGTCTTTTGTCACTCCATTTGTGAAATTGAGTCTTCTTCTTTTCTCTCTCTGCTTTGAGATACTTGTTATAGCTCTTTTCCCGAGTCTTTTCTTTATTCTTCCATTTTTCCATCTGGGATTCAAACTCTTGGGCTTGTTTTTCCTTTCTTTCTTTGACTGTTTTCCAATGATCGTACCTAAAAGATTTAGAAAAATTTAAACTTTGTTGAACTCACTTTTTGTCAATCCTACCGATGCTGAGGCCAAAAGGACTCTTTTCATACATAGATCTGTTCTTTACATCTTCTTCAGTTATAAGACATCCGGAGGCAGTCTCATTGATAGTTCTGCCTCCAGTTTTAGCTCCTCCATGATCAACTCCGGTGAGGCCAAATGTTGGGTCTAAAATTTTATAAAATTTATGAAGTTTATAAGTCACACTTCAAACACCAGCAACAAGTCTTCAAAAGGTTATTATAAAAGTTGATATAATTACATTTCCGATGCGTAGCCCCATTATTAGGCATAATTAGGCCACTAGAGGATCATCTCCCAATAAAACAAACTCTCTTCAGAAAGATCGACTCAAGTTGGAAGGAGATCTTAAGTAATGACAAAAAATAAGTAGAAATATTACAGAGAAGTTGACTTACCATTTCCTAATTTCTTCTTTGAACTCCTATGCATATTTGCTGCTGCATTCTCTTCCTGCTGTATAATTCGCATAGACTTCCTTCTCAGATCAGCGAGAGCTTCTTTACTAGCCATAATAAATTTATTCAAAATTAAAATTTACTAAAGGGGTTTTGGGGTTTTGGGGTTTTGGGGTTTTGGGG